AGGAACTCCTGAATAGGCCGGCTCCAATGAATCCACCGGACATCGAAGCAGCACACATAGATTTTCCTATAGATGTCAATCCACCAACGACGGAAGAAATTAGAATGGCCGTCAGACAAATCAAGAACGGGAAAGCAGCAGGACCCGACAACATACCAGCTGAAGCACTGAAATCAGACATCGAAACAACCACAAGCATGCTTTATCTTCTATTCAAAAAGATTTGGGAGGAGGAACAAGTGCCGATGGACTGGAAAGAAGGACACCTCGTTAAGATTCCAAAGAAAGGAGATCTGAGCAAATGTGAAAACTACAGAGGCATTACACTACTGTCAATACCAGGGAAAGTCTTCAACAGAGTGTTGCTGAACCGGATGAAGGATGCAGTAGACGCCCAACTTCGAGATCAACAAGCTGGATTCCGTAAGGATCGGTCGTGCACAGACCAAATTGCAACACTACGGATCATCGTCGAACAGTCAGTTGAGTGGAACTCATCATTATACATCAACTTCATTGATTATGAAAAGGCATTCGACAGTGTAGATAGGAAGACATTATGGAAACTTCTTCGACACTACGGAGTTCCTGAGAAGATTGTCAATATTATCCGGAACTCATACGACGGACTACAGTGCAAAGTAGTGCATGGAGGACAGCTGACAGATGCATTCCAAGTAAGGACCGGAGTCAGACAAGGCTGTTTACTCTCTCCCTTCCTCTTTCTTCTGGTGGTCGACTGGATTATGAAGACCTCAACATCTGAAGGAAAACACGGAATACAATGGACAGCTCAGAATAAATTAGACGATTTGGACTTCGCAGATGACCTAGCCCTCCTATCACGTACACACGAACAGATGCAGATGAAGACAGCTAGTGTAGCAGCAGTCTCTGCATCAGTAGGCCTCAGCATACACAAAGGGAAAACTAAGGTCCTCAAATTCAAAGCGGAGAACAGCAATCCAATCACACTTGATGGAGAAACTCTGGAAGATGTAGAGTCCTTCACATACCTAGGAAGCATCATCGATGAACAAGGAGGATCCGATGCAGACGTAAAGGCGAGGATCGGCAAAGCAAGAGTCGCATTCCTACAATTGAAGAACATATGGAACTCAAAACAACTTTCAACCAATATCAAAGTGAGAATCTTCAATACGAACGTCAAGGCAATTCTACTGTATGGAGCTGAAACTTGGAGAACTACAACAACCACAATCAAGAAAGTACAAGTATTTATAAATAGCTGTCTTCGGAAGATACTCAACATCCATTGGCCGGATACCATCAGCAACAGCCTTCTGTGGGAGAGAACAAACCAACTTCCAGCTGAAGAAGAAATTAGGAAAAGACGATGGAAATGGATAGGACATACATTACGCAAATCGTCAAACGGCATCACGAGGCAAGCCCTAACTTGGAATCCTGAAGGGAAGCGAAAAAGAGGAAGGCCAAAGAACACATTACGTCGGATAATAGAAGGAGATATGAAAGCGATGAATTACAACTGGACGGAGCTAGAAAGGATTGCCCAGGACAGAGTTGGATGGAGAATGCTGGTGAGCGGCCTATGCTCCTTCACAAGGAGTAACAGGCGTAAGTAAGTATATAGAGTCTCAACTTAAAGTTTAAAAGTGGTGAGATTATAATTTATGGACGATCTATGAGTGACGCTAAAGTGACCATGAGATTCTTCACCTAATAACTAGGACCAAATGAGAGTTTTAAACCAGTGTAGGGAATTAGAATTATGATTTACAATTGACGGCTACATTTGGGGTTCTCATCACGAACTGAAATCAGCTATAATGCTAAAACTCTATTTAGCCAAATAGATGAGTGAATTTCGCGCAGAAACCCGAGACCTGTTATCTTATACTTGATTGGTTCGTCCATAAATCATAGTCTCTCCTAAAAAGTTTGTTATGTCATACCGAACAGGAATTTTTCTCAAAGATTATTATATAAACAGGCTTAATGTTTTTGTCATTACTCTGTATTCACTTATATAAATCGTAAATTCTTTAAATTTTCCACCATATTCTTTCTTGAACATTTCACTATGCTGTAGAGAGTGCTAAAGATGATTAAGAAAGTATTCGGTACATCTTTAAATGTTATTATGAATGTTGTTGTGGATAGATAATCAAAATCTTCCAAACTACTAATCATTCACTCCATTTACATCTTTTACGTTATATCTTTTCTGGAAGCAGGTGATGTTTATATATTAAAGTTCATTCGTGTAAGCAAAAGTAAAAAGTCACTACAATACCGTATCTAGAATATGTACTAATTGTAAGAACATGTCGCTAATTCACAGTCATAGAGATTATTATTTTAGCAGTTGAGATCATCATTCAATTGAAGCTAGACAACCATGGAGAACCTGAAAGCACTGAACAGCCGTTTCGTCCTATTGTGGGTCTCCCTAGCAGTGCGCATCCACGACGCCGCCCCGCGGGATTCGAACCGCGGACCATTCAGTTAGACATTAACACTGTTGGATGTCGGTCGAGTGGTTAAGCGCTCACGTGCGAGACTGATAAGTCATGTGTTCGAGTATCGCGAGGTGGTATGGTGGGTGAGCACTGCTGAGGAGTCCCACAATAGGATGAAACGACCGCCCAGTGCTTACAGGTTTTCCATAGTGGTCCAACTTCAATTAACTCATGATCTCAACTATTGAACTTACTACAATCTCCACAAAACCCCTTCAGATTATTATTTCTTTTACCGATATTTCATTCCATTCTAAATGAACTATGTACTTGTTTCTGATTTCCACATTATATTTGACTTACTGATTGATGATTATTAAAGTTTTAGGATTACTTGGTCGCAGATATAATTTGTGATTAAAGAAAAATAAGAGTAACTTATTGATATATATTATGCTGAGAATTTCATAATGGTATAAATATATAATAATGAATGAAGCCATTATTATCATTATTACTAATATACATATATATAATGCTAGAATATCCCCGCAAAATATGTGTACTTATAATCTTGCGTTTCTATCATTATCCACAATGTACATTGACAAAATATTTACATGATATAATCCTATCATAATTAACCTTTCTTATAAACTGATATGAATTCTATAATCATTTTAACAATAAATGAATACCGTTATCCATTTTGTCTTGTTATACATTAGAATGAATAGATTGAAATATTCAGGCATCTACTGTCAATCATATGTGACTTATTTTCTGTTGGCTATACTCAATCAAATCTTCACCTTCGCGAAATTGATGAAAACAATAATGGATTTTATTTCATAGTGGATCTATAATATTTTCCAAGTCATAACAAGACTTTAGCATGGAAAATGGAGAATATTATAAAATCTTGATAGTAGGATCAAACATTAATCTTGATGCAATCATAAGCAAGAGATCATGTGAGAAACGTTTCCTAGTTCAATGAAAGATTTTGCTATAAGATAAATAACAAAAAATACAAATTCATGTGGGTTTATATTAAAACTGTCACGAGTGATTCTCACACCTTCCTGTTTCGATCCAAGTATATAAACACTTACATCATTTGAAATGATATCTCTATAAATAAGAATGATAACGTTATTTTGATACTCAGAATATTCAGCGTGTACTGTGACAGTATGGTGCGTGCTACTTATATTGATATAAGTAGTATATGACGCGAGTCAGGAATGTAATGTCTGGCAGCAGAAGATGGGGGAAGATCAAGAAAGCAAGAGCGGGAATAGAATGCAATTTGTATGGAAAGGCAAAGACAATGAAGTCTGAGGCATTTTGAAACAACTGGTAGACATTTTGCAAATTAAAGATTTGGTATATGGTTCTCAGGTTTTATTGAGGTGCTCTGTAATTTCATGTTAAATACAATCGATTGTCCCCACCCGTGTTTCGTTCACTACAACAGTAAATATCGGGATAATTCTTTTCTCGAAAACATAATTTTGCTCTCAGATGGATGCAGTGTCATAAATGACGATGTAAGTATACAGTGGATACATCATGTCAGTTATCCAAAATCATCTATAGATAGCAGTCTAAGAAAACAAGCTGACTAACTCAACACTTTATAGCTATCTGTTAAAACCTTAATAGGCTCAACTAGAAATCAGTTACCAGTGTGTTCTCATGAAGATTCTTTTTATTTAAAGAACCAGTAGGATTCCAAGTGTCGGTTATCTGTTTCATATGCATAACTGAGTTGCCCATTTAGTAAATACACAATATTCCATATGAAATCGAAACTATTCAATGTTTCATAATATATATATAGTTAGACGTTAACACCGTTGGATGCCGGCTCAGTGGTCTAGTGGTTAAGTCCTCGCGCGCGAAGCCAGTAGGTCCTGGGTTCGAGCCTCGCGTGGTGCGGGATCGTGGATGCGCACTGCTGAGGAGTCCCATACTAGGACGGAACGGCCGTCCAGTGCTTCCAGGTTTCAATGGTGGTCTAGCTTCAACTGACTCATGATTTCAATCTGTATAATTTCTAAAATCTCCACAAAACCCATTCTGATATATATATTCTATTGAATAAAAGGTAATGCTCTTTGGTTTTCATTGGTTGTTCAGCTATTCTTAATCGTTGATAAACCCAGTCAACAATGTCTTACATACTTAAAAAGTAAAGAAGCCTGAATTAAACACACACACACACACACAAAATAAAATAAACTTTTATTACCTTTTTTCTCGAGTAATTAATTAAAACAAAAGATGTTAAACATGTTAATTTACTTTCTTTTTGGTTATGAGAGAAGAAAAGAAAAACATTTTTCATCAAAATCAAAATCTCTACTGGTTTTCTTGGATTGAGTTTTCAATAGGAAGGAAATGTCTTGAAAAATCGTCCAATATTCAACCAAATCAAATCCTGTGTTATATATATATATGTATATAAAGAGGTTGATTAATTAAAGTAATTAATGGGAAAGAAATTCGATTAGATAATAGAAAGTGTTTGAGGTTATTAACTACCATTCATTAAGTGATTAGATCTTTCTTTGCACCAGTAGCTAGAAATAAACGACCTCCTCCATGTGGCCGATTTTTTGTAGTGGTAGTGGTAGTGACTGATGTTGTTTTAATTGTATTGTTTAAACTATTGGTGTATCTAGATGGTTTTAAATCTATAAAATGTTCTTTTGGATACACTAATGTATATAATGTACTATGAGTTGTTTTCTCTTCAATATATTCTTTCTCTGTAGTGAATGGTAAATCACGGTTGTCTGTAGTATTTTGTTTATTTTCGTGTGGACTTTGTGTTGCTGAACGTGAATGTTGTTTATTATTGGTTAGCACTGGGGAAAAACTTTTCTGAGGATGATTGAGACCAACTTGATTAACTGAAGGTGTTGATTTAGAAAGTTGATTCACATATTTTGTGTATGTTTTATTAGAAGTGTTGACTGGTAAGTCAACAGGAGACCATGATCGTGAAGATGACTTCGTATAATGATAGTTCATACCATGATGATGATGCTTAATTGGAGATCGAGAACGATTTGGTGTAGGTATCGTTCGCATGTTAGTTACTTTAACCAAATTAGCTGTAACTAAACCATCTAAACTATCAACTTCAGTACGATCTCCTAATAGTGAATATGATTGTCTAGCATCATCTAAACTAGTGATTGGTGATTTCCGGCAACTTGATAAATTTACTCTGAATGATTTCACAAACATTTTCTCTGGTGGTGGTCTAGGTGTATCTTTAAGAAGGACAGGCTTTGAGCAAGGTTTTCCGACGTCATTATCTTCTACCACGTCATCAGCATCATTATTACCGTCATTAACTTCCAAGTTATCTTTACAATTCGTATCAACGTATAAATAACTTTTAGTCTCCAATGATTCTCTACTTGAATGAGTAGAACTGTGAAATGATCTATTCTCCACAATCTCAATTTTCTCTACTTGTTTCCAAGAATTAACAGTTTTACGATTTAAATCAACAGCCATTAAACAAGCAAATATTGTCATTATCATTTTATGTTTTAATTCAATTAAATCTTCTGGCATCGCATAAACTGTGGCACCTATTCGTCTAGCTAATGTTATAGCATATTGAGCATTGGTGAGTTGTTCCTGAAATATATATATGTATATTATTTAAGATATAAGTATCTTATTTAATATCAAATGAATAAACTCTAAAATGGCTAAATAATTCAAAAAGGTTTATATTATTTAACACAAAATAACAGGGGAAAATGTAATAATAAATTAGGTCAGAGTATTGAATCTATCTCTTCTTGAGGCAACAAACTCACGATATAATATTGTTTTATTTGATTGATACTTATCCCAGTTTTATTTTCTATTATCTAACAAGTATTTCACCTTACAGTTACTCCTTTGAAATGAATATCGGATAGCTCAGTGGTAACGTCTCTGACTGTGAAGCTGGGTGACATGGGATCGAATCCACCAGGGAGCACCAGTTCCCTCAACATTACAGGTACAGCTTGCTGATGAGTGCCAAGTAGCACGAAAAATGGGTACAGGATTTCCTGTTGACTACCTCCAGCCACCATCTTATCTCAACGTAGTGCACTTAGACTGGTGACCACAATACATCTTGGTCGATAGCATTCGATCTGCACTAAGAAGTACTGGACACACACGACATTGATCACCACCCAGTGATCAATCAATTGTGAATGAATACCTTTTTTTCAATTTTTTATTATTTAAGACATCTGACTGGAAGCTTAAATTGATAAACAACATGACTTACAGTTTTGGAATTTCCTGGAAGTACTAAATTATAATCAACCGTATTTGGTCTTATAGCTTCAATTAAATCAATAACAGCATGTGATGTTTTTAAATTTGGATCAGTAAATCCTGATGAAGTTGAAATTTTTGTAAATTTTCCAGCATTTATTAATTTTTGATTAGCCCATTCAATAATTTTCATTTCTTCTATTGGATAAGATGTACCATGAATAGAATTAGTTAATTTTCCTGAAATAGCAATTTCAGCTTCAGTTAATTGAGTTAATAAAGATAATGTATAAGCACGCATAAGTTGCCATAATAATGCTAATGTCATTATACGTTTACCATCATGTAAATCAGCTCCACCAACTCCAACCAAACTAAATCCAAATTGTCGTCCCAATTTAATAACATAATTACAGTTTTCTGTACATAATGAAATTATATGAAAATAAATAACGGTAAACAACCATTAGTATAAAACAAAATTTATGTGACATAAAGTTCACTTTTATTACTTAAAATTAAATCTGAGCACATTCAATGAGCCAATCAAAGTTTATTAATTAATGTGACCGCTAAACTTTATCAATCCTATAATTATTAATAATGTTCAGTCACATTACGAAACGGTTTAATTGAAACAGCTCTCTAAGTCTTGACATTTTAAATCCTAAGTACGTTTAAATAATAAGCAAATCATCGCCAGGAGGTTCACTTATCGACTTAGAATACGCAGATGATATAGTCCTGTTTGGTGAAGAAGCTGATCAAATGCAAAGTCTTGTGATAGCACTGAGCAACAATGCCAGAATGTTCGGGATGCGTTTCTCTCCCTCTAAATGCAAGTTGTTGATCCAGGACTGACCTGAGTCAACACCTGAACTAAGGAGAAGAAGTGAAGTAACTGAACGCATCGCCAACTTCACTTATCTTGGATATCTGATCAGCGCTAATGGGTTGGTGACTGACGAAATCTCAGCACGGATTCGAAAAGCTCATTTGGCTTTTGCCAACCTACGTTACTTATAGCGAAGGCGAGATATCTGTCTATCAATTAACGGACAAGCACACTGCGCTGCAGTTCGTTCTGTTCTACTTTACGGCTGTGAAGCTTGGCCAGTAAGAGTTGAAGATACTCGTAAGCTACCAGTATTTGACCACAGATGTCTTAGAAATACTGCTCACATCTGTTGGAATCACCGGATAAGTAATAGTGGGGTTAGATGTAGGGTATTAGATAATGATGGTATGCCTGAACACCGTTTACCATGACGCGCGCACACACACAATAGGATGAAACGGCCGTCCAGTGCTTATAGGTTTTCAATGGTGGTCTAACATCAATCGGTTCATGATCTCAATTATAAACTTAATAATCTCCACAACCCCTATACTGATAGTATTACAAGCAGTTAGTTGTGAATTTATTTCATCTTAATTAACAATAGTTAATTGTAGACCATTCATGGAAATTTATGCTATAATAATGCTAAGCTCATATGATGACAATAAAATTACAATCTGGGAATACAGAATCCCTTCCAGTTTATTGATAACATAAAAACAACAATATGGATAAATCGTATTATTATTTTTATTACCCTATCAGTTGTCAACAAGAAAACTAGAATAATGTGGATAGCTTGGAGACAGTAAATTTTTTTTTGTCAGGACTTGACTAATAAGTAATGTCATTTTTCCGTTAGTTAAGGATAGAATTTATTATTTTGTTAATGATGTCATCATAAAAAATTAGTTCAGCAAGATAAGTTAGTCAGTCAGCTACAATGTAGAGCCAGGCACTTATGTGTATCGGTTCAAGTTGCCATACCTCATCAGCACGACAAGATGAACACCGGATTCATAGAAGTAGTTAGTTCGATGGTGGGAATATATACAAGAAAGATTGTGTATAAGGATATAATACAGGAGGAAAGGATTAGTTTGTAGAAAGAAAGATATGAAGCAATTTTAATCTCATAGTTTAAGGGAGGAGAGAGTGTGTATACAGCTACGCATTGTGATTGATTCTGAGCCATGTCACCTAGAGTTAACCTTCTTAGCTAGTTCATTTGTGACTACAAGATATAGTTTTATATAGTTTTGCTGTCTAGTTCATGTTGACTTACTGTATAGACCTCATAATTTAGCATTTCACCAGTCAAATATTGTAGTGAACAAGAACACTAGTGGGGACAACCGAATATAATTGAACACGAAATTACAGAATATCTCACTAAAATCTTAGGACCATACAGTAAATAGTTATTTTGTAAAATATCAATCCATGGTCTCAAACTTGACTGTTCTTTTTGTAAATATTAGTTCATCGTGTCAGATTTCATTGTTCACGCACTTTCATACCAATTGCTTTCCATTACCGTTCTTTCCTTCTCGATCTTCCATTGAAATACATTCTATGTCTGATCGTCGTTATATACTACTTATGTGGATATAAGTAGCTCACAACACCATTACCATTTCATTCCTTATCTCAAATAAATATTCATATCAGAAGGGGTTTTGTGGAGATTTTAGTAATTTCAACAGTTGAAGTCATGAGTCAATTGAAGCAAGACCACTATATAGAAAACCTGGAAGTATTGCACAGTCGTTTCGTCCTAGTATGGGACTCCTTAGCAATGCGCATCCACGACTGATAAGTCCTGGGTTCGAATCTCGCGGGGGGGGGCAGGATAGTGAATTGACATATTCATATTTGAAATGAATTTACATTTCATCTTATATATATAATGAAACAATTTGAAAATAAAATAAAATATTAAAATTTCTAATTTTAATTTAACTTACCAAGACATTGAAAATTAGCTTTTGCTGGTGTATCACATATTGGTTCATGAACTTCTGTCCAATTAACACTATGTGGTTGAATTGAATCAAATAATCTTAATAATATTAAACCATCAACAAGATCATAGAATAAATAATTGACATTATTTGGAAAACCCAATGAATTAATCCAATTTCGATATGCTTTATTTGGAATAGAATATTAAAAAAAACAAATATGAAATATTATATAAATTGTGTAATCATGTAATTGTTATGTAATCAGTTTGATAGAATTCTGTCAATTTTAATCAAATAAATCAATATAATGAATCTTGAAGTTTCTATCTCAGTAACCATGTTGTACAAAAGGAATGATAAGTATCTTAACATAAGATTATCATGAGTCAGTTGAAGCTAGACCACCATGGAAAACCTGATCTTAACCATTGAAATTATTATAATATCCACAAAACCCATCTGATAAGATTATCAGTTAGATATTGACTTCCATCCAAATACATCATAAAATGAATTCATATTTCAGATGTTTTAATTCTATAGATTTAATGTGCGTATCGTCGTAATATATATTATATATGTGTAAAAATAGATTCTCAAACTAGAGTTCCTCATAACTATTCACGTTAGGGACTTGTTGAGGTGTAGTTAAATAAATAATTAAGAAAAAAACTTGGAAATCAATCTAATGTATAAGTTGGTTTCATATAATCCACATCCAAGTAATTAACTTCAAGATTTAGTTTTATATAAAATCCCATTGAAAATTCAGGAGCATTGAATTACTAATTTACCCTAGTGTGGATCTACTGAATAATACATTCCTACAGTCAATCACAGACTGAACTTAATCCCTCTATGTACTGAGACGAATACGATTTTTTTAGACCACTCATTGATGTTCAACTGATACACTATATATACACGTACAACAAGTCTTACTATATTTTGACTGGTCATAGGAAACATAATAAAAATATTTGCAGTTTGTCATGGTCGTGAAACGTCTAGCGACTCTGTTCTTTAGATAATTCATAATGAATAGTATGTTCAGCTCAAAAGACTAGGAATATTATGTAGCATTTTTTGCGATTATTATAGTATTTATTTATTTCAGATTTAAAACTGCTCTGTATTAAACACATAACTTAATTGTAAACCATTTTGAATTGTTTCTGCTAATGACTATTGTTCATGGTTCAGCCTAATTATTCATTATCTTCAGTAAAATCTTAGCAAGCTTGACCGTCAAGTCATCAAGATAATAGTGCTCAATAAATCTATAGTTTGAGATCATGAGGCGATTGAAGCTAGACCACCATAGAAAACCTGAAAGCACTGGACGGCCGTTTCGTTCTGTTGTGGGACTCCTCAGCAGTGCGCATCCACGAGAGAAGCAGTGAGCAGTGGAGTTCAACCGGGTCAATTGTGAGACAGTAACTCACTGACGACAATGGTGGGTGTGTCGCTTAATTTCACCGTTGGATGCCGCTCAATGGTCTAGTTGTTTAAGCGCCTGACGCGAGACTGATAGGTCCTGGGTTCGAATCCCGCGAGGCGGGGTTGTGGATGCGCATTGCTGGGGAGTCATATATTAGGACAAATCGGCCGTCCAGTGTTTCCAGGTTTCCATGGTGGTCTAGCTTCAATTGACTCATGATCTCAAGCTATTTAAATCTATAGTCACTTAATAGATTTCAAATTCCCAACAACTGATTACTTAACCTTTACTACAGTAGCTACAATGAATGTAAATGTAATTTTGTGGAACAAATATAACCACCAAGAATAAATCAGTTAATCGATTTCTAACTGAAGACTTAATAAAACTAGAGGATTTAATGTAGTTTTTCATTCATTTTTTTTCGACTCCTATCTTAGTATTTAAGAAGAAGGAATTCATGAACTCAGATTCTCACAGAGGACTTCATATTAATAGTTCATTGAATAGGAATCCATAAGCTTACAAACTAAACAATTTTTTTTCGAGATAACTCATGAATAATCTATTTTATTTGGTGAATAATAGAAAACATCTCAGCAACAAATTTTTTTTCTCCACCCCTCCTCTTATTAGTTGACAAGAAAATAATCCAATCATACTAATACCACAAACTTTCCATGTCTAATATCAAAAATAAAACAAAAGTATACTACTAATATAATTCCTTTTATTAAATATAAATTAATCATATAACAACAATAGAAAATATATTGAAACATTTATGATTTCAATGAAGAAAAAGACACTTTGATATGCCTACTTATAAATAGAAATCTAAAAATAACTGTAATAGTTCATTAATCCGATCTTATATACCATTGATATTATTATTATTATATGTACAATGTTGATTATTAGAATGATAATGTTGTTGAGAATGATGACGATATTGTATTCTTGGTTTATTTCGTTTCCATATAATTGATCTTATACAACAGAAATTAAAACACTCACTTTTTTCTTCACGTGTTTCTTCAATTTCAGCAACTTTCTCTTCAACTTCTGGTTGTTTCTCTAATGCTGGATAACCATGAAATAAATTAGCTAAAAAAGCCAAATTTAATTTTTGTGATCCACTAACAATATCTTCTGGACGAACAAAAACACGACAATTCAGTTGTTCAGCATTTTGTAATACCATTTCTGCTCGTTGAACTAAATCTACAGCATCTAAAATTGCCTGTCAAAAATAAATAATTTCAATACATGTTTAGATGTTGATTTATTGAGCACAAGTTTGTATGCTCAAATTTTAATTACACGTGTGATATGGAAACTTATAGCATCGTTCTTTTGTTTAAATAAAAGTAGTAATGTTTTTCAAGATTGAAATCTAACCCTAATTGAGTACTTAACTTCCAATCACTGGATTTTTGAGACCTCAATCTACCTGATTTAGATGTCACTAATATTCATGCATTAGATAGAGCTAAAAATCCAATGCATACATTTATACCCATTAGTTGAATGATAATGGCTTTCTTTAAGTAATTACCCATAAAACATAGTCTACAACAATTTGACAGTAAGCCATAGTTGGTTTTCAGTCATCTCTGAGAACTTTTTCTTTCATCGAAGTACTGTTTAGAGGTTTTCAACTGACACTAACGAATTCAATTCAGCGCTTTACTTACGATAAATCTATCCTAACATGTAAATATTTACTATCGATTAGCATACGAATACAAGAGCTCTGGCATACTTTCCTATTGTTAAAAACAGCAACATATAATGTTTAATTGGTATAGGTGTTGTGTATATTACTTATATGTACAGATATAAATGCTATGTATCGGGAATCGAAAGTAAAAGTATTACTGGTTGAAAGGGAAAATAAAAAGAAGGGAAGAGAAAGCAGTAAGCAATCGAAATACTATAAGGAATAAAAGAACGATGGAGTTTATAAGAGAATTTAAGAAAGATGAGCAAATAATGTATTCACCGTATTTTTCTCATGTTTTACAAATACAGCGTATGATTTTTCATAAAACAATAATTCGATTTATCCTGCTCAAGTCTTCTTTTATGTGATATATTTGCGCTACGCCATCAATCTATCGAAAATGCTCACTCTCAAAAGTGAATTTCACATTGTCAGTAAACATTTGTAATAATAAATCTTTAAGAGATTTTACAGCAAATGGTAATGGAAGTTTATTTAATGAGATCTAGCCGCAAAAATTATCAATCGATTCCTAAGAGGTACATTTGTAAACAGAGTGTTTACATCAAAGGAGTACACTGTCCTAGTTTTTATATCAGTATCAATTAGGTATTTAATTAATTAAAATGACTCTGATAACCTTCGTCTTCTCACTGCATTATCGAAATTTATCAAGGAGACTAATTGGTTAATCTATTTTTAGTATTTTATCTGGACCAGAAGGACTAAGACTTATCAATTGACAGTCTTGATTACACCTGCTGAAATTGTATAATCTCAGAATTTTCTAGTGGAACAACTGAAGTTAAATTTCTTCCAATAGTATACTTTACTATTCTTCTTACAAAGGTGCTAGAAACCGATATTTCTATGGGCTCCTTCCAAAGCCTCAGAAAGGCAGTCGTTTCTTCTAATCTGAAAATAATTGGTCGTTGCTCATAAGTCTTGTGAAAACGAAAATTGTTAATCTTCATTAACTCTGCAGATAGGGAACAAATAACTAGAAAAGAATAAGACGTTCTATAAAGATATTTCAGTCGGATCTCCCAAGCCCTTATTAATTTCGTCTATGAAATACTATTAATAAAGAAGAATTCTAGTTATATCCAAAACTTTTGAATTATCATTTATGAGCATTTTCATTTCCATATTCAAGCAATATTTTAAATTCATGAACAGACTTTGCCTACTAAAACAATTGTAAGTAGTAAAAAACACAAGGTATATATTTTAGATTTCGACATTTCTTCACTTACTCGAGCCGAATGCATGTATTGCTTCTTTTCTTGAGGAGCGATTTTTTCCACTAAATAAGCATAAACCTCTGAGTTCTGAAATTAAAAACATTCAGTTTCAATGTCAACAGGCTTGTCAAACATTCAGAGAAATACGTAAAAGAAACGGCAGAAGTTGTAAATTACTTTAAATTACATATTGGAAACAACTTTTTTTTAAGAAAATGTGGACAGAAATCATTGACTTTCCAAAATTCTTCGCATGAAGTTTATATCTAGTGGCCAGACTTATTCCTGTATTAAAACAAAAGTACATTTTTACTTCCAGAGTGTTCAGCTCATAATTTTCCTAACATTCTATATCAAGTACGGGCCTTAATTATCTAAGTTAATAGGATTTTGAAGTTTAAAATTGGACTGAGAGAGCTACACAAATTGACTAGCAAAGTTCCAGTACAGATGCTTTTTTACTTCAGTGGAGTGTCTATTCGATCTTTTGTGTGTTTTAAAAAACCGAAGCTCTAACCTGAGTTAAATTTATTACTCGAACCTTAAGAAAAAACCCAAAATAAAAAAGAATTAATGAATTCTAAACGATTTTATGACTAATATAAGTCATAAGATGTCTCTAAAGTGTGATTAAATTTATTCTAATGAAACTTATGTAATAAGCCGATGTCGTTTCTTTCCAACGGATATTTTCGAACCAAAACCAATACACCTCACATAAAGTTCTTTCTTAACGAATCAGCATAACAGTTAAACAAAATAGTCATTCATTAAAAAAAACTAGAATTAATATCTTGTCATAAGTGTCTTTTACGAAAGTCAAATATTAAAATGATGTTATATAATAGTCTGCTAGTGAATAATGTTAAGGCTAGGATAATTGTCAATTTGATAGCTGTTAAGAACAGAATAATCAAAAGTTGTAATAAGCGTTAATTAATAGTCATTCACTATTAACAAAATGGAGGTTTGTGGAGATTATAGTAACTCCAATAGTTGAATTCATGAGTCGAATTATTCTAGACCATCATTGACCAAAGGTCCATGATTGGAATCCCACGTAGAAGATCGTGTATGCGTACTACTCAGGAGTCCCACACTAGGACGAAACAACCTTCCATTACATCTAGGTTTCCTATGGTAGTCTAGCTTAAATCGACTCATGAGTTAAACTATTAAAATTATTGATCACTGTTAAGTGACTATTTTTTGAAATACTCATGAAAATTTCTACTAAATAATCTTTGAAGTAAGGAATAATTAAAAGTGATTGCTATCAAAGCACAGTCAGATAATAGGAACTAAATGAACAATATTGAACAACTGAAAATGTGATTTTAGGGTAACTCGTGTACAATAATATATTAATAAGTCATCTTAAAATATAAATTTTGTATTGTCCTTTTTTTATCGATTAACTTAATGCGCATCGCTGAGGAGTCCCACAATAAGACGAAACAGCCATCCAGTGCTTCCAGGTTTCCCATGGTGGTCTAGCTTCAACTGACTCATGATCTTAACCATTGGAATAACAATTTATCAAACTAATTCTTAAGCCTATTTAGTTCATTTTTGTTCAAGGGTTATTTGTCTTAATTTTACAAGATATATATATATATTGTTTGCTTCAAATAATTGTTACTTTTATTGTGTCCTGAATTTGCAATGGATTAATCACTGGGTGATGATCAATATCATGTGTGTCAGGTCCTTCTTAGTACAGATTGAATACTATCGGCCAAGTTGCAATGTGGCCACCAGATTAGATGACTCAACATTACTGAATTAGATAATTAAGTTCTAAATATTATTTAGTGAAATTCTAACAATTTTCTTAGTTGCTTTGATATTTAAAAAAAGAGGAAAAAGTAAACACCATGATATTTAAGTAAGTACTCATAGTATAACTATAGAGTATGTTGATATATAATTGATTCTTTAATTCTAAAAGATAAAACTTCCCTTTTACTAAATGAAGTCATTTGAATAGTTTGTTCAAGGATCAGTTGCATTACATTAATTTTAAAATTATGTTATAGAATATATTTTGTGTAAATAAGAAAACAGCAATCATCCAACACCTTCTTCTTAGACAATTATTGAAAGATCTTAAGTACTATATTTATTCAGTCTTAGTGTTAACCAATTATCTATGCCATCTGAAGAGTGGAAATAGTACACCTTCATAATTTGTTTAACAAAGAAGAATCTCGATTAAGTTTTGTTATCTTCCTATACAATATACTACTTTTTATATGAATACCGGACAGATGACATTAATTTAGGCTTTTTAAAAAGAAATCTAAACCGGAAAAAGATTAATTCACTTTGATATAAAGTTACTATGCGAAGTGGAAAAAAAATACAAAAAAAAAGAACTCCATAATCAACACAAAATCACACAATAAAACAATAACTAGATTTCTAGGTTCTAAAACTATATAACTGTAGATAGTTTTTCGTTTTGAATATTTTAGTCACCACCGGTAAATCAATATTGTGTCTATTCACATACATCAACTATTAGATAATCCACTATACGAACATAGTGTGAGACTATTATCAGGAACAGTTAATGTAGACTGGTAGTGTAAAGATATACACTCATATATATATATATATATATATATATATATATATATATATAGGTTAGTGTTAAAGATATGAATTGTACGATTGATTCATCGTTGACATTGTAATTTCACGATATAATTTGATACAAAATATAGAAAAAAAGAACATAATGGAACGAAATTATGCAAATTAGACTATTATATTACGAAGAATTGTTAAGTGAATATGGACAATTTAAGTAAAACACAGCTGGTCATCACCTGATATTTACTATATTGTAGCATACTAAAGGTTATGAAATATATGAATATGTATATATATGTTGTGAATAAACATGTTATATAATGAGTACTATTTAGTAGTATATACTTAGAATATAATGATGGAGAGGTTGATAAAGGATACTACAAAATCTAGATTAATTAATGGGTATTATTGACTAAATGTTTCATACAATATATAGTTATAATGAACATGTGTATTTCATTTATTCAAAGACATTAGCATATTGAATTATTGTTGAATGCTGTTTGATAATTAAGTATATAAAGACTCAGAAAAGTTCGTTTTAACATATTTGATAAATATGTACATATTTGTAGAGTTCAGTTGAAAGCATACACATGTAACATAAATTATTTCATTTGATACCCTAAGATCATTTGAATAAATCTTTCAGAATAATTGGATTTGTAATATTGCATATATATTTAGCAAAAATATAAGCAATGAATAAACATATTTTACAGTTTAACTCCTGATAAAACGTGATAGAATTTAGAATCATTTGAGTTTCCAGTAATTCATTAACTTTATTTATATGAAATGATATAAAACTAACTTTAAAATTTGGAGTGATAGCAGATAAATAAGAATAATTATTAGTATAGGGTTGTGGAGATTTTTAAGTTTTAATTGAGATCATGAACCGATCAGTGTTAGAGCAATATTGAGAACCTGAGAGCACTCTGCAGCCGATTCATCCTAGTGTCGAACTCTTCAGCAGTGAGCATTCACAATCTCGCACATGGAACTCGAACTTAGGACCTTGGGTGTCGCGTGTAAACGCTAAGCCTCTAAACCACTGAGCCGGTATTCGACATTAGTAATGTATAACGTCAGTCAATCCTCGACGTTGCTTCACCATCTTCCGTTGTCTTCAATGGATAACTGCCTCACACACAACATGGAACTCAGTCTCACGTAGGGGGTCGTGGAAACGTACCGCTGAGGAATCGCACACTAGGATAAAACGACAGTCTAATGCTTCTAGGTTCTCGATGGTGGTTTAACATTGACTGCTTCATGATCTCAATAAAAAAAACACGAATGAGCTTATCCTAGGAGTTTAGATTTAATATATAATCACCCAATAATAAATATAATTTTCTAGTCAAAAATTGCACCATAAGATAGATATTAGAAGAAAAACATTAAAAGAAAAAGCAATGATTACCCAGATACTAAATCATCATTTCCACTTATTTAGCAAAAATCAAATTAGTATAGAACTAATACGTATTCAGCTTAGATAGTTGATAATTCTTAGATCCTCAAAAATTTGGTTAGTCGATTTCGTACAGAACTTTATCTTGTTGTTTAAGCGCCTGGCGCAAGACTGAAAGGTCTTGGGTTCGAATCCCGCTAGGCGGGGTCGTGGATGCGCACTGCTGAGGAGTCCCACAATAGGACGAAACGGCTGTCCAGTGCTTTCAGGTTTTCCATGGTGGTCTAGCTTCAATTGACTCATGATCTCAACTGTTGAAATTATCTGAGTTTGTTTAAATTAGTGTATAATACATTAGAATTTATTTTGAAATATATAATGTTGGTTAATTTGTCATCTACAGGATAAAATTTCTAACAACTGATTGCATTCAATTTTAATTCATTCTAAACTAGAGTTATATTGAGATATAAACATTTTAAAAGCTTTCACTGTAATGATTGACTTTGTGTTGGATTCATAGATTTTTTTTAATTTTAAAACAAAACATCAACAAAATGTTATGAAGGATTTGTATTTACATATTGAATTAGTCTAAGCTTTCAGGTTAAAATAGCCATTTCTCAACCTGCAAGTTTCCAACTTCTGTCTCACTTCAATGAATTGAGCACTTTCAAGAAATTTTAACTAATAAATGAATTATACTAAACCAATATCATCAGTTCAATAGTTATAAATTGATACGGTTTTCTAGACTATTCATTGCTTACAAATAGCTTGTGAATTAAGGTAATATCGAGGCATATGCACAGTATGCACATATGCTAATAACAGACTGATCAATTGCAGTTTGAAACCTCAATGGAAAGATACAAGCCAAACAAGACCAAGTGTATTCTTTAGTCAATTCTATAATGTAATGTTTATTAAACCTTGAAAAACAAAGTGTTTTATTCAAAAGAGAATTATTTTCATTATTACTGATGATATTACTTAAATAACTATACTGTTAATAATAATTAATATATATAAATACTATTTGATTAATAATAACTTACTCGAACATCAAAAGAGAAATTTTCCATACGTGTTCCACTATCAGTTCCTTTTAAATGATAATTTACCCATCGAATTAAAATTTCTTCTGGAGAAAGTTTAGCAAAATCATTAATTGTTTCTTCTCCTTCAAGAAGAGTAGCTAGTTCAGCGTGAGCAACTACATTTATTTGTTTCAGAAGTCCAATCTGTTATTATAATAGTTTTTTGTAAAAAAAAATATGAAAGCAACGTTATATCATTGAACTGGATCAAATTTTATTATTGTTTAAATATAAAAAGCGGAGTATTTATTTAAATAGTTGAAATTGTAACCCAGTAACTTTTACTTCTAGCAACAAACACGTAATCCACTGATTTGCTGAGTCCAGGTAGCGAACAGAGTGTGCGACCGGTATTAATTTAACGTAATTTGTAAGATTTTGAACTCTGCGGTGTAAACACACATAGTTGATGAGTTTCAAATAAGATGAGGTGCACTCCTAGGATTTTTATGCTAGCCACAATCCACTTATTCAAACTAATGGATGTGAAACATGAACATCATGAATAGGGGATATTCGTTGGTTACTAATATTCAATCATAGGTTTTTTCAAAGCATCCCCGTATTTCAAAGCCTCTGATCGAGCAATGGCTGGGTCATGGGTAGGGTATTCGGTAAGGATGAAAATTCGATTGGTGTAGTAGCAAATTTTCATCGATTGGGATAACTAAACATGTGTTACGAATGCCGAACCACAGCACACCTCGACGGGGGATGTTGTCTGGTAAAGGAATAGGCTGGGAAGAAGCTAGCGGCGGCTAAACCGAAATATGACATCAGTTCATAAAGTCATTGATGATTGGACTGCGTCATGTTAATAGGTGTAGACTACCTGGTTGGGATCCTCGTAATTGTCGGAACCGACAGTTAGAGACTCTGTAGGAAACGACTCAAAATCGTCTATATTGACTTAAAAGCATCTATTTTTCGTCTGCCCTTTGGCCCTAATTTTCTGAATTCCTTATATTCTTTATATTTCATTAATTTATATTTTATTGGACAATATCTTCTTTCTGCCGTCACTCATAGTGCTACTACCTTTACTACTGTGGGATTCTCTCTAACCATTTCACCTCAACGTGCTAATGGGATGTGGAAATTTGAACTGATGTACAGGTGTCAGGTCCTACATTGAGTTCAAGTGATTAACTGACTTTTCTGTAACAATATAAATACGTAATTGTGTTGTTGAAAGATTGGAACTATTATCAAACTAATGACAACTCAATTAACTTTATTAGTAAATTTTACTTAATATCTAAATGAAAGCTTCGAAATCATCTTTTTAAAATAATCATGATAGCAAATCCTAATTATTCTTAGTGTATTAATTTTCACTTATTTATATGTGACATTACCAAGCTTTGTGAGTCATTTCTATTTATAAATTATATCCACAGGCTACATCATGTATTTCTCTTCAGCAAGATTTGGGATGAAGAACAAGTACCAACAGACTGGAAAGAAGGATACCTGATCATGATACCAAAGAAAGGTGATCTGGTCAGAATCATTGATTAACACGGTAGATCTGATGCAGTTGTGAAGGCGCGAATCAACAAAGCGAGAGCAGCATATTTACAATTGGAGAACATCGGGAACTCAAAACAACCGTCAACCAACATCAAGGTCAGGGATTTCAATACAAATGTCAAAACAGTTCTACTGTATGGGGCGAAAACTTGGAGAACCATTAAAGCCATCATCCACAAGATACAATTGTTTATTAATAGTTGTCTACACAAAATACTTCGGATCCGTTGGCCAGACACTATTAGCAACAACCTACCATAAGAGAGAATAAACCAGATCCTAACAGAAGAAGAAATCAGGAAGAAGCGCTGGTAGTGAATAGGACCCATATTGAGGAAAGCACCGAACTGCGTCACAAGACAAGCCCTCTCATGTAATCCTCAAGGTCGAAGGAAAAGAGGATGATTAAATAACATGAGAAAATTGAACAAAAATTGAACAGAACTGGAAAGGAAGGCCCAGGACAGAGTGGATTGGAGAACGCTGGTCGGCGGCCTATGCTCCATTGGGAGTAACAGGTGTAAGTAAGTAAGTAAGTAAGTAACATCATGTCTTTACATATCTAAATAACTGATAGTTGAATTACTGTAATGACATAAATACTAAAATTAGAATGAAAAGGAATTATAACAGATTATAATAAAATATATTTATTTACTTTAAATGACTGCTAACATAATTTAATTAAATCGTAATTTACTATTGGTTCTGTACATTAAAAGCATATAGAAAATGATTATGATCAGTTATTGTAGACATTGAATGATATTTCAATGATAGCAATACATTCATTAATAATCACACCCCTAACTATTGAGTTTCCTTATCGTTGGATACTTTAATTCTATGAATTAATTTTATTCATTTTGAATCATATTCTCTATGAATTCAGTAGTATGTTTACTTAAAGGAAATACTATTTACAAATGCAACTTCTTTGCTGTTTATTTTATCACTTCTAATTCTCAGTGTTGAAATTTATTCTTTAATGAAGGGTTAATGGATGTTGTAATACTTTCTGTTGAAATTTGTTTAAACCTTTTTTATAAATCTTTCTCATAATCTAATATGAGGATTAACATGTCCAATTTAATTTTATCTATCGCATTAGTTAAACACTGATAAACATGGAATATGAACTCAATTTGTTTCACAAAAGAACTTTTGAAACTAAAAAACCTAGTTTACTCAGAATTATAGGTTTAATATTTCCTGACGATTATTCATTACTCTTCATATGTGTTGAGTCGGCTTACCGAGAACTGTAACGGAGCTTCCAGAGGCCCTAAATGAGCCGAAGAGTCCTAGCCAATCAGAGTATGATGAAGCTTTCTAGAATATCAACGTGCCGTGCTACTATTGGTCAGCAGCATAATATGTCTTTGAGAGGATTGGTCAAAATATAATGTTCATTTAACAAATGTTAACATTTATAAATACCCGTGTTTTTCTGTACAGAAATGAACCTTGGAGTGAAGTACTTTTTGCATACTTTGCGTCTTGTCTCTCGTTGATCAGGTCGCTGTATAGCTTTAGCTTGGGGGTTACAGAATGGCTTAGGAAACGAATATAACGTTCAAATTAACAAGACTTATCAGTGGCGACAAGGATGGGATTCGAACTCACGCGGGGGAACCCCAACGGGGTTGATAAACCATCACTTATACCAGTCTTTGTGTTCTTACTTTCGCGTCGTGAGGATTGCAGGGGTCCCTCGTTCCGAGGATAAGTGATAAGTGTTTCCGACATAACAATCAGCGACGACCAGATACAAAAAAGTAGCATTAAAAGAGCCAAGACAATAAGCATTCAAACGACAAATTATAATAATATGTTATAAAATTTTGTCTCTAACAGCATTAAATTCATAAAATGTTCATTTAAATTAACTATAACAAGCATAAACATCATTTATTATTCTTGTTTAAAAAAACATTTGCCTACTTTAATAATTTGCCAAAGTAGTCCAAGTAATAAATGTTTAGTACCATTCCATATATCACCTGCTCCAATATTTACAACATTACAACCAATAGCTCTAGCACTATTTAATGCTAATGTAATATTTTCATGCATTTGATATGTAGTTAATGGTAAATGTCTGTTGATTGCACGATGATCAATTGTTTTTGGTATAGAACAATTGATGATTTTACTAAATAAATGAAACAATATATAGAATAGAAAAAAAAGCAAACTAGAATGGATAATAATAAATGTAATTATTTAGATGAGAATAAATTACAATAATATTTTACTGGTAATCTTAACTGTAAAAAAGTTAATTAAGTACCTATCAATGAGAATAGAGTAGCTATGTTTCTATACAAAAAATGGAATACCTTTTATCAGGTTAATAGATTATACAATTTAAATGGATGTAACATTAGTCTAAATAGATTTTTATAGTCATTTGCTAGTAAAACAAAACCAAATTAAATTAAGCTTAAGATGATTGATAAACTATAGGAAAAATGACATTACAATTACATATACTTGTTTAACGGTCATTTGTTACAACTAAAATCCTGTATTTAAACCATTTAAAGTACATCACTGATGTAGACATGATGAAAATGTTCGACAGTATTTCTACTGACAGATTTCAATAACTCACTTATTCACCACAAATATATACTGGTAATGCCATAAAGTTTACAGAGACTGTAATTAGGATATAAGAGGGGAACCTTTTCACATTTATAAATTTGAATAGTGGTTGATCAGAGTTCATGGATTCCTAGAGATAATCAATTAAGTTTTTTATTATTTTTCTCAAATAATTTATTAAGTGTTATTAAATTGTTTCCAAGAATTTGAATCATTTAAATTCTGTTAGATTATAAAGATTCCATATTTTAGATCATGACACTCAAACTAAAATAGGTAAAACAAGGACCAATTTCGTAATCAAGTAGTTGGAAATCGAATGTTTCATTAGTTAAACCACTGTTTAAAAAAGTGTGTATCATCATATTCTTGTTCCACTCATACCTGTAGATAACATTGAACGCAGTCACAGTAAAAAACTTTCGAAAGGCTACATAAGCTATGTTTTAAGCACAAAGTACCTGTAGTGGTAAATAGATCCTTGAAATAAATAATTCTGTAAGCATTGTGAAATAATGCTAGCCATCTTAATTTTACAAGACGCTAACTAGTTGAAAACATTCAGTTAAGTATAATCACCGCATCATACTAGAATCTAACGTCGAATTTTTTACCTACTCTCTTTATCTAGTTTAGAGGTTTCTTGTTAAACTACCTCTCCATTTGATTAAACACTTAATTCCTTCTAGCCATCATCACTTTATTTCTTGTTTGTCTTCTAATTATTTCGTCAAAGGATAATTGGGTACCAGTTTCATACGATTCTTTTACATTAAATCAATCTGCAAAATGAAAATACCTTGCATAACCAGGTGAACAATATGCTTGCAAACGGTCACTTAAATTTTTTGTTCAGAATAATATTTTTATTTCTAAGAATAAACTGTAACATGGCGATAGTTTAAGGAATTAATAAAGTATTTTGAGCAAAATAAAATTAATTCTGTTTCCCCCGTAGATAACCATTACAGAATTAATCAATACACAAAAAATATTTTTTGAGAGGCTAACTATTTCAAAGTTTTTATAATTTGTAACCATCATAATTATGTATAAACGGTTAATTTCTGAGTGACATTCAACACTATTTGACGAATCAAACATCCAGCTTCTCGTCAACTGAAGTCTGTGAATCGTACTAGAATTTAAAGTTTAAATAACACAAAAAATTATACACACAACTATATACAATAGTATATATAATGACAATTACCCTGTAACTTTAAGCATGCTTAATTTGAGTTACAGAATATGATACTTTCAAGTAAGCTGAATGCATTCCCTCTGATTTCAGTGTAAGCTCATTTGGGACTAATAAAGTACGCGCTAAACTATCCTGACAATAACTAGCTAGTATTCTAAGTTCTGATACTTTTACTTATTACGGAAATACATTACTAAATGTTTGCTTAAACTGTCGCCCTTGACTTTCAATAACGAACTAATAACTAATATTTAGTTAAATTTAATCTAACACATATCAACTTTAAGAAAACGGGTCGAATTTGTAGAACGCCACTAAGTTATTTGTTAGAAAGCTCGTCCACTTTCCATAGATGAAATATTGAACAAGTGTCTTCTTGCTCGTAACCTCTAACTATTATATTGCTTATTTGATACGACTAAGGCTTCAACTAATATCATTGTAAAATTGAAATATGTTTCACATATTTGGACCGTTTTGTGGGTCACGCTTTGTGCTACTTCTGATATTCTACTTGACGTTCACTACTTCAAACAAAAGTATATGAATGCGTGGGATGATGGGTTCAGACACTAACATCTTCGTGTTGGTGGAATTGTGTATCAAGTCAGTAATCAGTATCTTAAAGATTGTAAATTTTTCATGCTTAAAATCACAGACTTATCCAAGCTTGGCCACCCTTGAAAACCATAAAACAATGGACAGCTGTTTTGTCCTGGTATAGGATCCCTCAGAAGAACATATCCACATCCATATCACCGAACTGTATGCGTAAAAATTATGGTCCGTCATATAATTTACAAATAGTAGTGTTTTTTCGAAGAGTAGTTACTAAGTTAGTGACAGAGCTTTATAGACTTTCCAAGGACGAACAATTAAAACGTTTAAACGTTTTTCGTTTATCCTGCGGCGGAACGCGACTAGACCTTATATTGACACTATGCATCTTATATAGTAACTTTGATGTCCACATATTTTATTTTTTACTCCCTCTGGGACTAACGATCTCTGGAGTTATAGATAACAGGTTCAAAAACAAGAATTTACAAAATTCAAGATAAGACTCTTGTTTTTACTACGTGATCAACCACTGGAACACCTTACCATAAGAAGTTGATTCGATCTCAATGATGAATGCCGTAAATTGAACCTTAATTAAGAAATACACTGAGAGGATAGAAGGGTATTTTCCTTGCTGTGCTAATTTTATTATTTTGATCGTTTATTACGTACCAAAATCTCTGTTTCCACTTAAATTGAATTTATTTCAGTTAAAGCATTCGCTAAGAGTATCGTTTTTGCTTCCAAAGTAGTTTATCGTTGGCACTCACGTGTACATCGTTTCTAATGTACTTATTAGCCCTTTCGGTACTAACACTTTACAGTTTTCCACCATTTTATCTGGCCATCAGTTTCTATTGCCTCTGGGCACTATTGTATCTAGTTTCTTTTTGAAAACCTCTGTTTGGTGGCTGAGCAGTCCAAAATAAGTAGTTGACAACGTCCAGACGACGAGTACAAAATATGGTACAACGACGTCTGCACGAATCTAACGCCTGTGGTTTTCCAATGGTTTAGTAAAAATGGTTGTATATGGTTTCATCAGCAATGCTGCACAAACACAGACAGCTTGCTATCTGTAGCCACTTAGGTGGTAAATGCTGCTAAAAGGAGTATCAGCACACACACCAGACAACACTCGCTCAATTGATGCACAAATCGATATGAAATCACCTCAAATGAGCTCAGTATCGATTGACCTACATGGATCAGTGGAGGGAAAACCGACTCCAAAGAGGCCTGTCCGAAATAAAAGCTCAGGAAAGGAAGTTCATCCTGTCGCCCGCCAGCAGAAAGCGCCTAAAAACATAATCACAAGGTTAAATCTGTTTTTAGCAGGAAAACCAACCTGACCAACCAAGTCCTCGAAAATTATCCGGAATCCCACAGTGTGTTTGACGCGACTGTGGTTGCTACTCCAACTAAAGTTGATGAATGGGTACAGGTCCAGAATAAGAAACGATATGATATCCTTGAAGAAAAGCTAACCTCCCCCCCAAAAAATACGTAGATGAGAAATTGACGACCGACCGCAGTGTCAGGTCAGTTGTCTTTCATAAGGTCAAGAAGCATAAAAGCTTGGAACCCAGAACTCGTTTTGAGCATGGCACTGAGTTGATTAAAAAGCTACTGAATTAACTAACGCTTCAGCATATCTCTGGAGTCACCTTGCTAATGGTTTAAGGATTAGGTAGCCAAATAGACTTGAAGCAGAATCAAACCGGGCTGCTTAACGTAGTATTGAAATCTCCCAACGAAAAGAACTTAACACTACAGAATGGGCATAAGATAAAGGAGTCAGGAGTATTTTGTCCGTAAGGTCTTGCCGCCCGCAGACCGTATAAAAAGACAAGAAGCTGAAAGAAAACTGAAACTAAGGTTGGATGCTGGAGACAAGGACCTTAAAATTGTAAATCTTTGGGTGGTGAGACTTCCATGGAGAATGATGCCGAAGCCACTGTGGGTGTAGCACAAAATCATTCTAATATTCTTCGGATCCGTTACACAAATACCCAGAGCTTGTTCAACAAGCGGTTGGAGCTAGGCATGCAGATAGACTCCACCAAGCCGGATGTAATCTCTGTCACAGAAACTTGGTTGATGCTGTCTGTAGAAATTAGGAAGCTTGATGTTGAAAGTTCCACATTAGTAAGAGTCAACAGAACCCAGAGGTGTAAATGAGGAGGACTAGCTCTATTCATTGAAATCCAATCCCATTTACCTCTATTGATAACACATCTCATGAAAGTGAGACGTGTAAACTTGTTGGTTACCACCTGAAATGCAAAGGACAATAGCTGTTGATTAATTTGATCTACCACAGTCCAAACTATGAGATGGATTAGGTCTTGCTAGACAGTTTCAACACCTAGTCATCAATTGTTCAATGTCCAGTCTTAGGAGTCTTGGATGCACACACGGTAGGCCGGATAAATCTGAAGACTGAGTTGTTGAAAAATTCCTTCGAAAAGAAACTAATTGTTGCGGTTATCACATATGCCTTAGTGTAACATGTGAAAGAAGCAACTAGGTACGAATCGGACAGCGAATCATCCTTAATAGATCTCATATTGAGCCATTATGAGGGTGACGTGACAAACCTCAAGAGTCTGACAGACCACCACTGTCAGGACTCATGCAGGTCACCTAGCCTCCTGGCATTTCCAAACTGAAACTGATTAAAAATTGTCAGTTTGCCTATTATCCTTGTCACTGAATGCTAAAGACTGTAAATATGAACTGTAAACCGACAATTCGCTTCGAGTTTTTAGCCTGAAATCCACAGACAAAATACTCTTGTCAAAGTGATCAGATGCATTAGGGATAGTTCTCATCCCAAAATTTTAAATGGTTTTGAGACTTTAGATTGTCAGGAAGATCTAGAGTAGATACATTAGACGTTCATCAAACAGACAATACGAACGTAAAAAGTGCCAAAATAATAAATATTCATTGCGAGTCAAAGTTTATTGTAGGTGGTCATGAATCAGAAACAAAAATTGTGGTCAGAAAACAAAAGAAAACATGCAGATTATACAGAGAAACGTTGGGAAACATATAGTCATAGTATGCTAACAATACAAGCCAGAACATACCATAATAAGATGCCATCTGTACATTTATCATATAAGTCACTTCCATCGGATTTGAATGGCAGGTATCGCTTACATTCTGGGTCGTCGAGCAAATTTCTGTTGAGAAATATACAAGTGTACAAGTTTACCTTTCAATCCAACTGGAAAATCCGACCTGCTCCTCTTCACTAACGCTGTGTAGAGTATCATCATCCACTCTATCTCCATACGTTCCATAGTGATAAAGGTTAGACTTCGAACCGGCATTCCCGATAGCAGAAACCATGGGATCTCCTTTGCAGGCCTCCTGATAAATCTGAGAAAAGTCGGAATTTTTATGGTTTGTGTACCCTTTTAAAGTCGTAAAACGAAATTTTCTCAGCATTTTGATTAACTTCAGCAGCTTTTACGGCTTCTAGTATTTCCGAATCAGTTGATCTACATCCAAGCTTCCGTAGAGCAGGAATAATGTACTTTACAGATAATGAACCAGCGTTATTGGCGTCGAACTAAATTTCCGTTTGAAAAATTTATTTTTTACCGATGCGAATGCTTCAAGTAGTTCGCTATACCTCGTAATTCTTGCTTCACGATCATTTACAGTTTCAACCATTTTCAAAAATGAGAGTATCTGTAACCGTTTGAGGTCGTTCCATTGGTCTGTCCAAACAACTAAAAGTTGTGACAAGGTTGTTCACTAATATAGATCAAAGACATACTATTAAGTGTCTAGTCACCTTGAATTGATTGGCTCCCTTCATATCTAAAAAACCGACATTTTGAGGTCAGGGTTAACTTTGATTTCTCTCAGGTCCTGTAATGTCCTAGTGAGGTACCCCAGAGCTCAGTACTAAGACCTCTTCTTTTCTCAATTTATGTAAACGATCTTCCATAACAAGTGTCTTCTGACATTACTTTTTTTATGATGTGATAAATGTTCGGTTCCATACAAATATTTGGTATGGTGGAATGCACTGGTAATCTGGAGGGAACTATACATGCTGTAGACATTTGAGGAACAAGTATACGTTGGTACGGGACGTCAGTTAAAAACATAATATCAATGCGAACCTGACAGAAATTGCATTCACCACCTAAATCGATTTAATACATGTCCATGAGTCTGCGACAACAACCTTTTACAACCTGATTTGTAACTAAAGATACAGAAAGTGCTCGCTGATAAAGGATAATCAGGGCAAAAAATAAGAAATAAATAATAGACATACTCAAGCTGGAGTCCTAAAATCGAATAAGCTTCATAAGGCCAGCGGCATGATAGAGTCTTACAGACTAACCACCTTATTAGCTTGACGTTCACATGTATATTGTAGTGAGGAGGCTATATTTCCCATAGTCATATAGGAACCTAGTTATTCCATATCTTACAGGTGGTCATGTCCAATCCGTGGTAAGTACAGCTACCATTCGACTAATGCAATCGAATATTACCTTAAGGTCCACTACGGGTGCATATAGTCAATTGATTATGTTCGTATTTAATCTTTATTCTCCAGTCTTTAATATTAAGAATAGGAGGCCTTTTGGCCTATTTTATTCTTTGAACTTTATAAAACTATGGAGGTCGAATTTCACTTTGAATTTACCCACAAACGATACTGATATTATGTATTGTTGTAAAGGATTCTAGCGAATTACTCGGTGTAATAAACGAAACTCCAGACATACATGATTAGATCTCGGTTTTTGAACATTCTGAGAAGGTCTTCTCAGATGACCGGTCCTAGATGGGAGGAAAAGATAGAACATTAATACCAGGATCATAGTTCAGTGTGCGGCAAGTCAATATTAGGTGACTTCGTAGCCTGCCCTAAGGTGATACAAATTGGCTGAGGTGTCTCAATCTGTCTTCATATGATAGGCCAGTGTGAACTTTAAGCATTTTAGTCTCTCGTCACTGGACTCGTTTGAGCATATCTGCCTCATACCTGGAATAAGAACTCGCTGCTTAAATCCCATATTCCAAATGTGGTTTCACGAAAGTCGGGTAAAATAATCTATACATTCCGTCCAAGTACTGAAAAGGTCTACGAATATTCTATGATGCTCTAAAGCCTTTGGCAGCAGCAGCCTTGCAGTTGCTCACAGTTTTGAGATCATTGCTTATTATGACTCCTAAATCTATATAGTCCATCACTTTGGGTGACACAAATCCACATATTTTGTAGCGATACGAATCATCACGGTTATTTAATTGCATCACAATACTTGTTAGAGTTCACTTCTAGTGACCGTCCGTTCACCTGTAGTGGCACTGGACAATAGCCACACAATCTACAAAGCTGTGAACACAAGACTACTCAGAAAATAGATATTCAATATTTAACGCGGAGAAATACCACCAATGCCAGAAATGCCACCAATGATTTGAGATCATCCTGTAATACTGTTCTGTCTGGCATACTATGTATATATCACAACTTGTTGATCACTGAGTGATGATCGATATCATGTGTGTCAAGTCCTTCTTAGTACAGATCGAATGCTATCGACCAAGTTGCAATGTGGCCACCAGTGTAGGTGACTCAAAATTGCGTGCACTACGTTGAGATTAGATGGTGGTTGGGGGTAGTCAACAGGATACCCTGGACCCGGGTTTCGTGCTACTCGGCACTCATCAGCAAAGTGCACCTGTAATCTTCGGGGAACTGGTGCTCCCTGACGGACTCGAACACGTGTCACCCAGCTTCACAGTCAGAGACGTTACCACTGGGCTATTCGGGCCGCGATCGACCTCCTGTAGGACTGAGATCTATTCACAATTGAGTGATAACTGGGTGGTGATCAATGTTATGTGTGTCATGTCCTTCTTAGTGTGGATGGAATGCTATCGACCAAGTTACAATGGCAACGACCAACCTCCTGTCGCGGCCCGGATAATTAGGTGGTAACATCTCTAAATGTTCAGCTGGGTGACACAGGATCAGATCCGTCAGGGGGCACCAGTTTTCTCTAAATTACAGGTACACCTTACTGACGAGTGCCAAGTAGTACGAAACCCGGGTCAAGGGCTTTCTGTCGACTACCTCCAACCACCATTTTATACTATGTAAAGGTCTCTAAATCTTTTGGACTTTGACGGTGTACTCTGCGACGCGGAATGTGAGTCCACCAAAGACTGCATTTCACCCTTTGTTCGTTCCAAAGAAGATTTTCCTTTCGCATGATTTGCGATCGGGTGCTTCGCTCGTCCCATAACGGCACATACTAAACTGACACAGCCTTCTCTGTTAGCACTCGTGTAGCCAGCACAGTCACCATCAACCTTTTCTCAGACCATAGCCAGAAGGCCCATAGTTTCCTGAATCGGTAATGTTTTGCTTAAACAGCAAAACATACAAAGCCAATGGAAGTCATGATTCTATAATCATTTGCATGTGTTGAGACTTAAACGGGTATACATCTTGTGCAACTGCTCTTCGCACTCATCATATTGCATTCTTTCCTCCACAGAAAAAAACAATGTGGCTGTCCACATTTATAAGTATAGCCAATCACTGTGAAAGGCTTAGAGGAGTAGAGCAACATCGACAAAAATATAGAAGATAATCTTTAATATGAGTGTAGAGGTAAATAAATCCCCAAAACAAATAGCTCTCATCCGGACCACATTAGTTTTAATGAAATAACCTGGCTTAAGGCCCTCGGTCATGCATCCGCTACAGATCACTAGGGCGCGGGCACCGGCGTAAGCCAGGGGTTTTTGCGCACATGTTATATAATGTCGCAGATTTTTTGTGTCGTTATTTATCAGCTATCAACAGCCTTTTCCACATCACACGTCGATTTTCGTAATGTTTGTGCTTGTTACATAGTTTTTATCCCAGTTTATTAGCAGTTTGACGTATTTGTTGCTCAACACCCAAGGGAATCTTTAGTAAGCCCAATATGGTTATCTGTAACAATGAGAACTCACGCAAGTAAAATTAACCATTTTTCAAGTCAAAAAATAGATCAGAAATTGAGTTTTCAGGAAAACAAGCTTTAAAACCTATTACATCTGGTTCACCTCCTTGATTATGGTGATGATGAACATGGATGTTGGTAGTTGTTTATAAAACGTAGGTTGAAGCAATTAGGCGTTAAACTATTTATGAACATTATATAAATTGCCAATATATAGCCATAAACAGTTATATCCCTTACACATATCGTCTTATACTGAAGTGACATATTAATATGTAACGTATCTGGGAAGATTTATGTGAGTAAAAAATGGTATTGATAGTCTCTTCCATCCGCTTTCTGAACGTATACAGGAACAGTGTATAACACCAATGGAAGCGCCACGTTAAGTAGTCACAAAGTCTTCATAAGTAAAACGATGCGTGTTTCTTTTGAGCATAGTGACAAAACCATGTCGTAGTTAATACTGACTTATGCTTTGTCTGTTATAGGGTTCACGAATAAGTTTCTGTAAACAGAATACGCAATCACTGACCAAATTCTGAACAAATTTATGATGCATATTGTCGAGTAATATCTAAATAGTGCTTACCAATTTCTTCGTTAATACCAAATGTCAAGGTGAAATACCAGAAGGGTTAGAAAATGAAGAGCGCTGTTTACACGAAACAAGAAACTTATAGGTTATTTGACATATGGTAGCGAAGTCATAAATATATTGAAATCAGAGTTTTAAGGCACTTTGAGCCGTGAAACCATTAACATTTTATTTTCATCATAAACTTTATATAAACAAATGTCATAAGACTGTTAAGCGTTCACATGTATACGATGGGGATTTGAAGCTTCCAGTCCTTGATACGACACAACCCTAGAATCAAATAACAACTATTAATGAGTTAATTCTTGAATTCCTACTTCATTACAGACTGACTCGTCCAAAGTAATTCATGCAAAACACGTGACGAAAAGTGAACGAGCAATCGAAGCTAAATCACGGATTTATAGCACTCATATCTCTTTTGTGCCATATTAATTAGTCACACTTTCCTCATAAGTCGAACGATGCCTGTATGTTGTGATCATAGTAACTACAGTAGTTTGTAAATAACACTAATTTGTGATGTGTCTGTTTTAAAGATTACCAATGAATTTCTATTAACGGAATCCGAAATCTCTAATGAATAGCACTGTTTACAAACAAGAGACTTATAGGTACATTCTGTTACCTGCTATTTGATTAGCTTATTGAGTTTCATACTGATAACAAAGTTTAATTGTCTCAAGACTGATTTGTTGTTTTTCAGAATAGTATGGAGCTTATGGAATTCATTATTATGAAAGATTGTGTGGAAAACCGGTTTACAAGTTTACGATAACTGCTTTATATTACCTACTGCCATGTTCATCCATCTTATGAATTATTAAAATATAAATATAACAATCACACTCAGTGTTTTACATTATAAACCCTATAAGTATGTATAGTTATAGTCTAGATAAAGTCAAAACAAATATTGATGCAGAATATTGTAACTGCATTATATCTCGTGGTTTCTCGCAAGCTCCACACAACCAAATATTTACTATAATTTAACATTGAGGCAAGAAATAGTATGAAACAATTGACACATTAGAAAGCAAAGAATTGGAATGACCTAGGTTATCAATAATAACTATATATAT